AAGTAGTTAACTATTTCATGTGTCAGTCATACAGATAGATGATGCAACCAGCCTTTGTCACTAAAGTTAAATTATTTTAGCTCCTCTACTTCAACATCCTTGCTTAATGATTTTAGTGTGTGTGATTTTACTTCTGATTCCTAACTTTAAATCTTGTCTTCAGCAGGAAACAAAAGTTACTTCCTCCGTTTACTGTCAGTTCACCCAAGTGTGCAGACAGCTACAGTACATACCAAATAATAGAAGAGCTGAATGAAGGTAAAAAAATGAACAAACATCTCTGAATACCTGTTGAGCAGGTATCCAAGCACATCCACGATACAGAAATACATGTGTTACAGGCACATGTTGAAAGACGTGGTTTATCCTTTCGTGTAAGAACAAGCTATGTTCAGACTCAACAGGTTAAATGTATCTGCTTGTGAAACTCCCTTTCCCAACAAACACCTGCAGCATTCTTTAATCTCTCTGAAACTCTTTAACAATTCCCAGTAACACTTAAGTCATCGTTTACCTCTTACGCCTCTCACACTTTTCTGTCACGTTATGAAGAAAAATCATCTGCTTTCAGGCACGCAGAATGCAAATAAGCCAGCCTCAGATGGTGAAAAGACATCTGGGTAAAAAGTTGCAATGACATTTGATATTTTTCCTACTGATTCATTAAAATCTGTTGACAATTTTGCAGTGTGATGTAAGAATTAGTCATTGCTACCTACGGCACTGAGCACGCTTTCAGTTTGTAGGAACTGACAGGATAGACATCTCAAATGTTTCAAAGCTGGTCAAGCACGCTTACGCCGTGAATAACAGGTGTAAACATAAATCACGGTTCAATAAGGGTTCAAGACAACAGGAGATAGGAGCAAATGCCTAATGCACAGCTAATATACACTGTATTGCCAAAACTATTCGCTCACCATATGAGCTTGTGAACTCCATTCCTAAACCATAGGGTTCAATATAACGTTGTTCCACTCTTTGCAGCTAGAACAGCTTCAGCTCTTTTGGGAAGGTTGTCTACAGCTTTAGGAGTGTTTATGGGGATTTTTGACCATTCTTCCAGAAGCATTTGTGAGGTCACATACTGATGTTGGACTGAAGGCCTGGCTCTCAGTCTCTGCTCTAATTCATCCCAAAGGTGTTCTACCAGGTTGAGATCAGGACTCTGTGCAGGTCAGTCAAGTTCATCCACACCAGACTCTGCCATCCATGTCTTTATGGACTTTGCTTTGTGCACTGGTGCACAGTCATTTGGATGGGAGAGCAAATACTTTTGGCAATTTAGCGTATATTAGTCAATACAAACATGTCGATAACTCAGTCAATTTTACAGATGTTCAGCTAAACTTTGATGTGGTGGTAGCTAGGAGTAATCTTTCACACACACTCTGAATATGACATTCTGCAATATTGAACGTTATTCTCAAAGTTTGACCAAAAAGGGCTACAACTTTGTCATCTCTTAACTTAAAGTTATCTTAGTTTAAAACTGGTATGAACTGTGGCAGGTGATATGCAATATTTAAAGAAATTCTCAATTCAAATCTTCATTTATAATTAAAACTTTTTAGCTGAAGCTAAAATATAACATAAAATGACTTGTTTTAACAATAGTTACCATAGTTACAAAAACTAAAAACCAAACAATGCATAAGGAAGCAGCATAGGTCGCTTAAAAAAAGTTCAGCCTTTGCTGAAAATGACAGRTTCAAGAGATTAATCAGCATTTAATGCTTAACCCGTGTCTATGCCTCGTATCTGGCTGTATGACATCACACCATTTCCTGCTGTGTCAACCTTTTAAAAAGAAAGACAAATTCCACTCAGCAGCAGTGCAGCTTCAACTRTAGCCAAGTCAAACATGGAAAATTAACCTGAAGTGATTCCTAAATAAATGYGACCGTTACAGTCACTGTAACAATTTCAGCTCATGTGTGAACAGCAAGTAGGCACATGTTTTAAAGTTTGCTGCTTCAGATATACAGTATTTATTGCCGAGGTTTTTGCACATGTCAAAGAGTGTCTGTGCTGTTAGCAAAATATCTTATGAACCACTGAACAGAATTTAATTAAACTCCCAGATAAACATCTACAAGTATTTAACTTTTACAGTCAATCTGATTTATAATGGTTGCCAGCGCTGACATGAATAGTGCTGCATGATGTGCATTCCTTTAAAGCTGTACTATTTGTCTAAATATATATATTTTTTTTATGTTTTGATTTGAAATTTTTGTTAAGGGTTTTATTTATGATACAAAACAATCACTAAATACTCGTTAGTCACTATCAGAAATCTCTGGCATAATCTATATTAGTGAAAAAAAAAATCAGAAGTCATGTTTTGATGCCAACAATTATGAGAGGTTTGTTTACATTTCAACACTGACAAGTAGGCTTCAGGCAGTGTCAACGAGCGACAGTCCGAAAAATAATCACAGGATGTAAACAGAGTCGGAGAGAGAACAATGGAATCAGAGACGCCATAAAGTTCTTCTTTCTTCTGAAAAGAAACGATGACTAAAAGCAGTAAGTCGACAGTCATGTCAGGAGAGGAAATCAAGTGGTGGAGAGTAACGAAGCAAAAGTCGGCACTAAAACCATAGGCAAATGAGCTGGTCTGAGATATTCTGAACTCTAACGGGAGGATTTCAGTAACCAATCAAAACGGATCAAATAATTTAGTTGTAAACAAAGGCGTGGAATACTGTATTTTCTGTTTTCTAATGCAAACCATTTTTTAATACAAAAAACCTCTTAGTTACATTAACTCCAAAACAATMATTTAAATTAGATAGAAATTGTGCTCTCAAAAGGCATGTGTAAAGGATCGTGCTCAGATACCACCACACCAAATTTTAATTCAAATTCAATTCAAATTCAAAAATACTTTACTGATCCCAGAGGGAAATTAGGTATAAAAAAAAAGTATAAAGTGTTTAAAGTTTAAAGTCTTCTTTTATAGTCTTTAAAATGTCTGTACATGCCATCAAATACAAAAGGCCAAAGAAAATATATTTATATTTAAGAAACTTGTAATAATGCACATAATTTTACCTGTTAYGTCACATAACTGGCATGTTTTCTTTTGAATTTGGCTCAGCTAAWCTGAAACAGGAAGTGACATCAAAGGGGAACTCTTCAAGAAAGACATTGTTTGTTGAAACAATATTATTTGAACTCTGACTCTCTCATCTCTCTATGATAGTGATTAAAAATATAAAAAAACATCAGATTCTTCTCTACAGTCTGTGTTGTTAGCCCTTTCAGCAGCACTCTGTTCACTTTCAGACTTTGACATCACTTCCTGTTAATWCACACGCAAATATCTCAACAACTGTTCATCTCAGAAGCATGAAATCTGTTTTTACAGTAYGTTATAAATGTYATCTTTCCAAAAATACATACATATTTCTCACAAAAATTTGATGTCACAGGCACTTTAACTCAATATCTGTTAGTTGTGGTCATTTTTGTGTTTTGTAAGCTCCTTTGGATGYAGCGACCATCTTGAATTTCATCACTGGATCCTTTTCTGCAAGTTTTGCTTACGTCTAGTTGCGTGATAAATTTTGCGAATGACAGCTGGATCACTGACAGGCGTCATCCTTTACCACACAGAGTGAGTGTTGGGGATCAGTCTCAGCTACTACCACACCAGATCTGAGCTCAGAAATGGTAAATATGGATGAGTTTGGGTCCTTTTTTTAGGGTTGCTTTGCTATGGAGGCCATCTTGAATGATTCATTTCAGAGAGTTTCATTAAAATCCATCCAGTGATTCACAAAATATTCTGCTAACAGTAGAAACAAGCAAACAAACGACACATAAGTGCAAACACTCTGCCTTTGGGTGATAAAAAATACATCTACTGCAGTTTATAAAATAAGAGACGTTCTACATTTATCAGTCTTGTCTGTTTGCAGTTATCTGGTGGAAACTAAGCAGGAAACCTGATCTGACAGCAGAGCTAGCTGTGCAGGACCTCGGTTGGCCTGCGCTGTGGATGAATACTACATGTGTTATCAGTTCACCGTAAGTCACTCGCTCACTATGGTACGCTCACTCACGCATATAAGGCCTTATTTTTTTAACCGCTTAATGCATTTCCTGTCTCACCACCAGAGCTGCCGACAACCCTGCAGCCTGCAGAGAACTTCAGCTCTGTTCCTTTTTTTATTTTAACTTGAATTTATTTTTTTTAATTGTGCAAGTCTTCCAACTTGGTGAGGCTAAATTTGAAACTGTGGTTGTCTTCTTCTTGAACCACACAGCTGGTCACGTGACCGAGTTTAGGTGGGTGTCTGACATGGACCGGTGAAGAAGAGGAAGTGATACTGGGAGCTGTGTTAGCTGCAGTTTACAGAGCAGCATGTGTTTAAAAAGACATTTCTATGTTGTTGTTGTTTTTTTTGTTTTTTTTGGGGGGGGGGCATTTTGTGCAGAGGTCCATGTCTAGACACCCACCCACCATCACCATCATTATCATAACGGACTGCCAGCCCACCCACACACACATCGCCACCCACCCACACACACACACACACACACATACATACACACACCATTTTACAGCTCTGATGAACATGTCAGAAGCTGCTTCAAGAGGAGAAATTCAACTTTCTGGTGCCGCGTCCCTCTCAGAACCAGACATCTCAGCTTTCAGTGCTCTGACGGCTCCTTCTACTCTTACATCTCACACCGTCTCCTCATCAGGCGCCTCCTCAAAGTGTTCTCACTCTCATTTATCACTGCTGGCGAGCACCTGCTTTGGGTTCTAACACCTGCCTGCCAACACAAACATGTTCGTCAACGAAGAAGCCAACAGGTCACTCTGACAGTCCTGCAGCCCTGAACACAACACAACACAACACAACACAACACAACACAACACACACAGAGAAGAAGCAACAACACTCCTTCAGACAGTGAACATCCGTCCACACACCCACAGCCATATGCAGAGGAGAAATTTGTGAATGAGCTGCTGCACTTACCTTGGCACTGGAATCCCTGCTTCCCAAAGCCCCTGCGGACAGAAAGACAGGGAAGTGAAATTTCAGGAATTCACTGACTGACGCGCGCGCACACACGCACAGGTTACATATCCAGTCATTCATCAGCACACAGCTGCAGCAGAAGCAGCAGCAGTGACAGCGGGGCCCCTTGTCTCCAGCAGCATTCCTCCAGTTTTCAGAGGAGCCTGCCGGGGGCCCGATGCGGCACAGGCGCGGAGCGGCAGCTCTGCCGCGCATCCCCCCCCTCCACCCCCCAAAAGGCCCCGCGGTGCTGTCGCATTGAGGAGGACTGCGGAGAAACGCGGTGTTTTGGATGACAGGGACMGTGAATGCATCACTGCGGTGTTTAGTGTCCACACAGGGCCGATTACAGAGGCGCCGCAGCAGCAAGTGATTCACCTGTGTCCTTTCGCCTCCTCGCGCGCGCGCATACACACATATACATACATACATACGTACAGGCGCGCGCGCGCGCGCGCTCACTCACCAGATGAAGTCCGTGCAGTGGCTGCAGAAGGTTGGCTGCTTGAAGAAGCGCGCGATGAACTTGTGGTCCTTTACCTCGTGCACATTCTTCTGACGGAGGGCTCCCTGGCGGGCGAAGCCGCGCGCGCTCTCCGGTGCCTCTCCGTCGCTGGTGGGGTCAGCCATCTTTAACGAGGAAGCGGCTGCGGCGGCGGTCCGAAAGGTACGAGGGGTGAGGAGAGCGACGGAGACACGACGGAGGCGGCGAGGCGAAGCGAGCGCAGGTGCCTCCTCCTCCTCCTCCTCCTCCTCCTCTTTCTCCTTCTCCTCCTCTCCGCCCCGCTGTCCGCCTCGGTGTCGCTCGTGCTGCCGGTGTTTTTGACGGTCTGCGTCCAGCAGCTCGGGCTCAAAGCTGCTGCTGTTCCTTCCGGCGGGTCCGCGTGCGGCGCGCCTGCTGCTTCCCTGTTCGCACCAGAGAGTTGCAGCTCTTTCTCTCTTCACAGACGCACAAACACGCACAGCCACGCGCTGCTTCTTCAAACTACCAGTATGTGTATTGTATATGCGCGCGCAGACTTGTCTGTCATTAATTGGAGCCTCAGGTAGCTTTGGCAGACTTTTGTTTTTGTTTTTCACAGGTGCCACAAAAGGCCTTCAGGGCCCCAGGTTCAAAAAGCTGCTGTTATTTGTAGAAAACTTGTTAAAATATGTTTACATGTAGCCTACTGTGTGAAATAAAAGATATGTTTACATGTAGCCTACTGTGTAAAATAAAAGATATGTTTACATGTAGCCTA